ATATGTAAAATTAAAGCACATAACATTAATAGAAGAAAAAACGTTTAAAATTCGCGTGCCACAAGCTATAAATAACAAACAGTAATAAATATAAAAAGATTTATATGACACACATTTTTAATTTTGACATGATTTTTTACCACCACTATGAATATATACTGCTACTGTGCAAATTTATGGTATTGCACTTTGTGTCGATAAGATGATGATTAATTTTGATTTTAACTAGAATTATTAAAAACAGCGTGGTAGGTACATACGTCTAAAAAGCATAATATTGGCATAAAAGTGAAGATATAAGCTACCTTTTTTTTTAATTTCACCTAAATCCATTGAGATATTGGAACATTGAAAAAAGCACACTTTCTCACTCACTCACTTTCTTATTCTCGTACTCTCTCACTCAAAGCTTTCGCTTTTAAAATACAAGTCGTCGTCTTAGTGCTTATTTGTAATTTACTGAAAGAGTTTTTAATACAGGATTATTGGCTTTTAAATACCAATTCTATTGGTATAATCCTTCCACGACCGCGGACACGCCGGCGTATCAGTTAACAATAGATTTCTTAGAATTTTAATTAATTCCTTAGAAATTTACCTGGAGGTGTTAAAATACACATTTTACTATAATAAAGCCGAAAAAAAGTGTTCGAAGCCGAAAAAAAATCTTTGAGATTATTAAAAAAAAACTACTGTACATGTTCAACTGTACTTCAAGTATTGGTAGTTTGAACAAATGAGTACTAAGGCGACGAAGTATATACTTTGCTCAAACCAAAACCGAACCCATAAATTCCGTGTCAGATCATAATATTCCGACCCAGATTAGATTTAATTTTTATAAAAAATTGAATTGATTTAAATTAAAAATATTCCCTAGTTAGCAAAATACGTGGAGTCAACTGTTTACAATTACGCTTCACAAACTAAATTTGATTGACATAGAACAAATTAGGGTAAACTTTGGTAGCTGGTACGATCAAACATAAATATTTTTTTGTAAATAATTTATTTTTCAATTTAAATTAAATGATTTTGTTTGAAGTTGAAATATTAAAGAACTTCTAAGAAATTAGTTTATAATACTGTAGCTAAGCATTTTTATAAGTTTGAGTTTTTTTTAAAGTTCTAAAATTAGAAAGATGATATTTTCGTCAATGAAATTGATAATGATGAGCTACAGAAATTTATATAATATTATCAAATTTGCACAGCTTATTCTATTGAAAGTTATGAAACTTAACAATTCTCATAGGGAACATTTGTAATTGTTATAGACTATAGTACTCGCGACTTCTCCAACGTTCAAACTTCCAATCATTACCAAACATAGGATCACCACATGTTGGGCTAATCTGAAAATTGCCTGAAATTTTTTACTAAAATCGCTTCAGCCGTTTTGAAGTACATAGGGAATATATGTTTGATTTATTGTGGACCTACATCGAGAAAATTTAGAGTGAGTTGCTAGTCTTCAATAAATAGGCTATAAGAACCAAAAATACTTTCAAATCTAACGGTAGTTCCAGAGATTAGAGCGTTCAAACAGACAGCAATCTCTTCAGATTTATCACATTAGTATAGATAATTTAAGTATCATCTTGACAGTAATTGAAGTAGTAACATCGGTAATCGTAAGGGAAGTCTGCAAGTACCTATTTGCGCATGCGGGGAGGACTTGCGCCTAGGAGCTAAAGTTGCTGTGAACAGTTGTGAATGGGACGTTGCCGGGGTATATTATATCTGCATTTGTTTTTGCGAACTATTTTGATGAAATTTAATATGCCTCGTACAGTGTTTTAGTGTAGTGATGTGGTCTTTACAAGTTTTAATTTTGGGAGTTACAGTGTTGTTCAGATGTACGGACTCAGTAGGTAAGTTTGTGACGTGTTTAAATAAGTTTTTTCTTCATACTTTGTATTTTTTACTATATTTAAATAATATATTTTAAATGGTATATTGTTTATATAACTTATAGAAAAATAACTTTAAATAATTAAAATTATAAGACCTGTATCTTTTTAATGTGTACGTCCTTAAAATTATAAATAATTTCATTTAAAATGACAAGAACTTATAAAAAAGTTTTACAACTTACAATAAAAATAAACAAAAAAGAATTAAAAAATAGGTGACCTCATGATCCTGTTTTTTTTTAATATTTTATTGACTTTTTATTAATTAATTGAAAAACAGTGATTTGTTCATCATAATGTTAGTATTAGGTATGTGAGTTAAAATAATATTCATATCACCATCCAAATATATTCGAATAAATGTAATTTAGGTTTATATCTTAAAAAATAACGTGCGTCCAAAATTAATTTATTATTATTCAATATTATTTAAACTAAATAAAAATATCTATTGTCATATTTATTATTAAAATAAATATTACGTACTTATGACCCGGTGCATCGCGTTGTATCGTTTTAAGTTATTTTGTAATACAAATCTAAAAATCTTTTCAAAGGCATATTTTAGTCCTTTTAAAAAAAACATCTTTGTTCATTGAACTTTTCTAATTCAGAACGAAGATTTATTTAAGCAGTATATAAAATATTTTTACGTTGAATAGAAAAGTTGGTAAGACCCTTAGGGATCGATTTCCGCCGACATTACCTTTAAGGGTATACGCGTGAAGTATTCTTTAGAAATTTGAAGTTTTCAAATCTAGTAGTTTTCATAATACTTTCTTTTAACGCAAATTCTTGCCGTTCTAAATATAATAATATCTTTGGACTTTTGCGCGATTTATTTTGTTTTTTTTTTGTTCCCAATGTTTCGAATGATTTATACAGCAGAGACTAAGAACGTCACAAAAGTCATAGTATTACACATGGCGTCTATCAACAAAATTATACAACAATTTGAAAGACAAGAGAAAAATGGCACCGAAACTCGATAAATTTTATAATTAAAAAAATAATTCTTATTAAAGTTCCTAAAGTTTTACAAAATTTAATTTGAGTTGCTATTCTCAAAACTTTCTTAGATTTACGCGAATAAGTATTTAACATATTAAATAAAACTATCTTTTGTGTTTTTTTCGCGGATTTATTTTGATTTTAGTTTCCCGACGTTTCGAATGCTTTACAGCAGTTATAGTCTCTCCCGTGATCATTATTTATTTTGCTATCATTATGATTTTTAAGCTATTCAGGTGTTTTAAGCCCCGACGCAAAAAAAGTGGAGTTAAAAATTTAATATTTATCTGCGTATCTGTGTATCTATCTGTGGTATCGTAGAGCCCAAACGGATGAACCGATTTTAATTTAGTTTTTTTTTTGTGTGTGACAGGTGACTTGATCGATATAAGTTATAAATCGAGAAAATCCGTTTACAAACTATCAGCGATTTTCTAGACGTAAAAGAATAAGCACAGCTTCCACAGATCTAATTCACTCGAAATTTGGTATCCCCTTACTTTAATGACATTGCAAAGATATGGTGACAATGACATTGCTAAGCCTGATGGTGCAGCGCCACCTGGAATCTGCAAGATTCTCAACTCTTTACTAAAATACTGGAGATATATCATGTTTAGGCTCATTGTATTGGACTCAATATTTTTTTTAGATTACAGTGGTACGGGTTTTTTTATTTTTTTAATTTAAGATTTATTTATGATCAACACAGTACGACACTGTCGTAGAACAAAGTCGGATATGATATTACATCGAAATTGATTTTTTTACAGAATTAGCTTTAATTAATAATAAACTATTGATATATTCAAGAAAAATTTAAATATTCTTAGTACTTTCGGAAATATTCAATTGAACAAAGTATTATTTCAAAATTGTTCCCATGAAAATCGTCGCGAGTTCAATAGCGCCACTGTCGCTCGGTTGTCATCGCTCCGCGTGCGCCGCGCCCTGCGCGGCGATCGTCGCTAGCGGTGATGTTCGACGGAAAGCCGGTCATATTTAACAACAACACATGATAAATTCTACATTAGCGTATTATTACAATATTTTTAAAGATATTTAACACAAAAACAGCCTAAAATGTCTCAATCATAAAAAATATTAATGTTAGTGATAGATAATGAAGAAATAAGTGACTATTTCGCCAGGCAGGACTTCAGCATTTTAAGTAATTCAATCGAAAATACGAACAACGAAGGTAAGCCATTTTTATAAATATTTACTTTTATGGATATAAGTGCCTTTTATTATTTTTTTCATACTAAAAAACGATTGGCTAACATTTTATAGAGAATTATTCAAAATCCGTGTCATAACTTAACAACCGACGTTGTTCTACGGAGATGAAAAAAAATTAAATTTATTTAATAAAAATATATTTGATGATGTTTTCTTTATGTACTATATTTATATTCTTTAATTACTTATGTTATGGTATTGGATATTTTTGACGTCGTATGTTTCCTACTTTCGTTTTTCTCCCAAACTCATTTCAATTATACAGATTGTTTGAATACTTACGGCGTTGTTCTTCGGAAATCTTACACATTTTTGATGTAGCGTATTGAGAAGTAACTATGTTCTTCGGCATAAAATTATATAGGATTTTGTTCAGCATGTTTGAATGCTAATAATAGATATATAAATGACTAGATCTTTTTATTTGAGAATTTTTTGTCTTATTTAGACATATCTTTAAATATTTTACTATGTTGAATCACCTTTTCTTTTTTTTTACCCTCTGGAGCGGAAATCATAGTTAACCAATTAAAAGAAATAGCGCAGAAAGTATTTGCAGATGGCGATGAAGATCGAAATTTAGTTAAAGACTTGACATCATTTGGTATAGAAGATACCAACGCCAGTTTTGAGGGTTCTCCTCCTGTGGTCATCGAAGAATTTGAAAACCTACACCTACATCACCCTTAATCATGCTTACTCCCATGCCATTACCGACTAATAGTCACAAGACATGTAATGACTTATTTTGTGCTTTATACGATCACTGGATAGTCCAGTACCATCTTCAGTAGTACCTAGTACGTAGTAGCCCTAGTACTGTAAGTGGAATAAGTTCTTTTTCCGAATTAGATACCAACTCAGTACTGTCTCCAGGACGAAAAAAAAACAAATAAAAATAGAGAATCATGGTCCGATGTAAAAAGGAAAAGCTTAACGAATTCAGGTAAAAATATGTGTCAAAGAGAAGTAAAGTTCTTGATGAAAAAGGTTATGGGTATGCGTTATAAATGTAGTGAAAAAATTACTAATGAACAAAGAATACATTGTTTTAAAAGGTTTTGAGTCTCGGTAACAAAAGAGAAACAGTTGGGATTAGTGGTTAAATTTTGTTTAGAAGTAAAGAAGCATCGATGTTTTATCACAGATCGACCTAATTTACGTAAATTTACTTACAAGTACAACTTGCCAATAGCTTCTTCTTCTGAAAGCGAAAAAAAAGTGTCTATTATCACGTCAATTCTTTTATCTCATGACGTTAGGAAGAGATCGATCAAGCTATATTAGACGGTAATCGTAGTATTGGGTGTTTGTTTCTATTATACAAAGAATGTTTTAATCCTACAAAATATGTTAAGAGGGCTTCAACCGAACGTCAATATAGAGGTATTGTTTCCAAATACTTTAATTAAGATTTCATGGAAATTCTATGGAATCAGATAAAGGAAGTCCATGTCAAAAAAAAGATCCCACTTAATTATAATATTATATATATGATCTCAATGAAAGTGGTTATAATATGTCTGGTCATTGGATCTAGAACCAAAAACTCATCATCAGCTCTACCTGATTTAAAACCTATTTCTAACAGCTTGTATAAAATATCGAAAGATAAATATAATGATCTTGTTCACATGTGCAAAACCGGTGTAATCATTTCTGAACATAGCATTTATTTCAAATCCCTTTTGATGATGAGTGATTTTTTTTCATTATTTTGTTAATTAATAAATTAATCTATCGAAATAAAAAGAAATGTCATTAGACATTTCATTTTATTTGATAGTTTTGTCTATGAAAATACATTATTTTAAAACTAAATATTTATGTGGGATTTAAACAGATCTGGGACAATTTTGAAGAGAAGTATTTTTTGTTATTACTAGTTCTTGAAATATTTATTTTATTTTTTATTGTCAAGTGAATATTAAGTACCTGCTCAATCATATTCCTAGTATAAACATTAAGTTACATTGAATATTTATGTAATAAATTATATATGGCTAAAGACCTACTCATATCTGCTGTTGATATAGATATTTAAAATGTTATTATTTCTGAGATCTCATATTTGTTAAAGAGTTTTAGATTTTTAGTATTTTGAAATTTTGTAATTTGACTGATTTATTTTGTTACCGAATGAGACAGATCAGAAACGAGTCGCACAATTAATATTAAGAGTTTAATTACCAAATGGCAAAATTTTTTAATTAGATTTATTCCTTGCTTGTGCAATTTTCAAATTGTATTTTGGATAAAAAATAATCGTTGTTTATATTTTTCATTTCTTTACTTATATAGATATACCTTGTGTATAAGCAATAAAAAGTTTTTTTTAGAACCTACGTAATTTTTAATTTATCTAGAATAACATACGACATCAATATCCCTTTTGTAATTCCACAGAACAGCATGACATGTATATATACGTAGTACAACTTTCCATCGAACAACTTCGGAAAGTCACAACATACGTCCTAAGTTACGTAATATAACGTCGGATTATAATATACAAACACATTTTTTTTTATTTTATAAATAAAATGTTATTATTATTATCTAGTAATAACTCTTAATAAAAGACAAAAAGCTATTTCTAATTTTTTTTTCAATTAATTAAATGGGAGAAAAGTTATGGTAAAAAATGTGACTTCAAAACTTTAAACGGCTCTCCTGTAAAGTAGCTATTTTGTAGATCCGATTTT